TTAAACACATGCGTATCGGTAGTATCGGGTATTTTATTATTATTTTTTTTTTTTTTTTTTTTTTTTTGTAACAGGTACATGAGAAAATAATAAAATACATTTGTATTAACGTACACATTAATTTGCCACAATTTTCACTGAACTGTTAATTCGCTATATTATTTACTATAGCCATTAGGTATTCGTACACATAACAATAAGTAATAACAATAATATTATAATTATTAATTTAAAAAAGAACTGACTAAAACAGGAAATTATTATAAAAATTTGCATCGTTTTTAATTCAAATAAATAATATATTTATACTTATACATAAATAGATAACAAAAACAATAGGAGATAAATAAAAAAAATTACATGACATGTCCGGATTAGAACAGGATAACCAAGACTTTACAGCAATATCCAAAACTTGGGTTCACTAAAGATAAATTAACTAAGAAATTAGCTCATCAATTTCGAATAAAAAAAGGGTTGCCGACGGGTTTAAAAGCAAGGCAACTTTGATATTCGAGGGAGAAAATAATCGGGAAGAATTAGCATGACACACATATTATATTATATACAATGATCTGAACAATACTGTTGTATTGTCCACGGAGTAAGAATAAACCCACGATTGTACCAATCAACGTAAACGCGAACACCCACTCTTGGGTACATATCGGGTATGCTCCGGAAACGATTTCACTATATAGGTCAATCGAAACTCTAGATAATATGATTTCCATAAATAATGTACCGTCAAAAAACTGAAAAAATTATCAAACCCAGTATATTTGTACTATTAATCAATAGACCGGAGGATACTGCTATAAATCTCTATAAAAATACATTAATTCACACAAAAACTACCCAATTAAAATAATTACGATAGCAAAACAAAGGAGGCGGTTACAAAAAAATGATAATCATAATTTCGATACGAATAATAATGGTAAAATACAAATTAAAATTATAATCTAAAACTTTTCGATCGTGATAAAACATACACGTTGATGTTACACAGTATAGCAAACCGAACGCGAAAAATATTACATCAAATTAAACACAAATTTACGAGTTTAATAACCCACCACATTAAATTAATTCAGATAAATGAAAAAGACATAAACAAAAAAAAACCCACTCTTAATAAATAATATTAAAACAATTGCGAAAAAAAATAAAATATAGAAGCACGTAAATTAACAGTTTCAAAAATACAAATAAAACAAAACTAGGTATAAAAAAAAAATCATAAAAATTGATTAGTATTAAAAATAATAAAATACATAAATAGGTGTAAAATATTAAATTTAAATGTTTAAAGAAATAATTACAACTAAATATAGTATTAATTAAAATTAAGTGTGTTTATAATTAGTATAATAAGTAGAAAAATAAACAAATCGAAATAAAAGCAATGTACAGACCATCCATTCCGTTCACACCAATCAGACAAGGAGAATCGTAGTTTAAATCAAAACCCATACCACCAACAAAATATACCGCCACAAAATCCGGACCACTAAGTCACAAACCAAATAATCACGGGAGATACCAACAATATGACGGTGTATATGAACCCCATCACACCGACAACAAAGATCGTAAAACTGTGCAGAAAAAATGTAGGTAATCCTTTTATGTGAAAACATTGTTCGTTCTCTTTTACCGAAATCATAAAAACAATGTCTATGTTAAGTACGAAATCTTTAATTAAAAACGATTATGCACAACCATCAAGTACACTCATTTGGTTATTATTTTTCATAAAAATGTAAAAAATCGTTGTGGGGGATCAGGGAAGAGAAAACCCGTCATGACACAGAATAAACATACGATTGTAAAGTAAGAAATGGGAGGGGGACTGTAAATCTTTTAGATTTCAAAATTTAAAATTAAATATAATTTTGTACAACAGTCGTAGCAAGTCAGCGGCAATTAACGTAAAGCAACCTTCATTTCTACTCGAGGAATACCGAATAACAAACCCGAAGGTTAACATTTTCGGAATTATAACTTCTTAAATGTTTAACTTGCGTACACTTTAAATTATCGAAATTTCGACTTTCCGCTTTTGTTATAGGATAATTTATTTATATATATACATATATGTAAATACATATTTTTATTTTTCGTGATTTCATTTTCTCTGTCCTTTATTCTGACCGTTGAACACCGGTCTGGATTGCGAGGGCCCGACCAAAAAAAGACCGAGACGGATGTAACGTCATGCTCACTACGCAAAACACGTATACAACTATTGATATGTTTCTGAAATTGCGAGTAAAAGGTTTGAACACAGCCGATTACTTGGCGTTCAGTAACAAAAAGCAATCGACGTAATGAACATAACGGACGTTCGTCGTCCGAGCAAGATGCACGATAATTATTCGTAGCCGAAACACGGTAATACGGTACCGGTTGCGCAGAAGCAATGCACTCGACACGGCGGTCGGCGATTGTGCGACATCGCCGCCGCGCCGTAGCCCAAACGAAATCGCTCGCGAATAAAATGGGTTTCAACTGTTTGTTTTGCGGTTAACACAGACCGCAATCGCGCCGGTTCTGACGCGTAATTCTCCATAAAATCGAATAACAACGATGTCCGTTTTGATGTCACGGGCGTCCGGCCCGCGCGTGAAACCGTCCGGGCGATGAACACTGCCGTGAACCCCCCGCACTAGACGGTCGCGCTCAGCCGCCTCTTTCGAAAATCCCCCTCGAATAGCTGGCTCCGAATTTTATCGGCTAATCGGCCAATTTCTCTATACATTTATTGCAGCAGTTCAACATTGTTTTTTTTTTCTTTCGCAATTTCAATTATCAACATATTTGCTGTCTATAAACGCACGCGGAGTCTCGGGCCGGGGCTTCGCACCCGAAAAATATGAACGGATGTTTGGGCGTTAACAGCCGTTATTATCAGTGTTAACGTACGTTAATACGGGTGTTCGGCAGTCGAGAACAAACGTCGTTTTTTTTTTTTTTTTTTATAGGGGCTCCCAAAAGTTGTTTAACGTCACGACCACTCGCGAAAAAAAAAAATGAATATGAAATATTTTTATTACCTACTTGTAAAATAAAATATTATTACCCTACACGAATGCGAATGTCAGACCAAACTCGATTTTTTAATTTCAAGTAGTTAGAATCGTTTATGAAACTACAAGAACTGAGGCGATGGCAAATGAGTAAGATTTCATTGGAGTCCTTGTAACTTATGTAAATCCATGTACAACGTACAGTTTTATAAATAAAATTTGAATTTATAAATAAAAATACGATTGCCTATCTGTTACTATTTTACAAATATGTGTTAAATCT